CACCATACCAGTATTTAACGGAGAACCGTTGGAATACAGATCTTTTATTGGAGCCATCGAACATGGAATCGAGAGTCGCACCGAGAATGATCGTGATCGACTTCAGTTTTTGCTGCAATACACAAGTGGACAACCACACGAGTTGGTTAAGAGCTGCATTCATATGGAACCTTCAACAGGATATGCTAAAGCTAAACAGATGTTAAAGGAGTTCTTTGGAGATGACTTCAAGATTTCAGAGGCCTACATTAAAGAGGCTTTAGATTGGCCAGCAATTAAACCAGAAGATGGACATGCTCTTCAGTCCTTTGCACTTTTTCTCACTGGCTGCTCCAACACAATGATAGATATTAGCTACCTAGAAGACTTGGACAACACAGCTAATATAAAGTCTTTGGCAAATAAACTGCCATACAGGCTCAAAGAATCATGGAGAAAGGCTGCCTGTGACCTGCAAGAAAGGACCAAGAAAAGAGCTAAATTCAAGGACTTTGTTGACTTTTTGAACCAGCAGGTTAAGTACCTTTTACATCCCCTCTATGGAAACTTAAAGGACACCACCATAACCACAAAAGAATCTACTAAACCAAAACAAAAACAATACATGGAATCATCCAAACCAAAGAAGGTGTTTACCACAACCGTTGTTCCACAAAAGACAGAAGATGACAAACAAGAATCTTCAAAAACACCACCTACAACAACAGAGACTACCACCAAACCTTGCATTTATTGTAGTGGAGAGCGCCACAGCCTCACAGTTTGCAAAAAATTCAAGAGCAAGCTACATAAGGACAAAATTGAATTCTTGAGAAGCAAAGGTTTGTGTTTTGCATGTTTGAAGCAAGGTCATATGAGTAGCAGTTGCAAGCAGAAACTTAAGTGTCAAGAATGCTTAAGATGTCACCCCACATCTTTACATATTACAGCCAAAGGCGCTAAAGAAGAGTCAACGAAAGAAAGTTATGAACAGCAATCTGTAACAACTGCTTTAGTACAAACAGCTGAAACCTGTGGTGTCACCGGGGCCGGTAGGGATGATTGTGTCCTATCGATCATTCCAGTGTGTGTTAAGGCACAAAAGGGAACCAAGACAGTGACAACTTATGCATTTTTAGATCCTGGTAGCTCAGCTTCCTTTGCTACAGAGTCACTGATTAATCAGTTGAACATGAATGGGCGCAACATCAACATTTCATTGCGAACTATGGGAAATGAATCAATTGTGAATACACGCATTGTGACTGGTTTGGAGGTCAGCAACTTGAACACCAACCAATTTGTGGAACTTTCTGAGGTTTATTCACAAAAGGAAATTCC